TGACTCCAATAATGAATTCAAGTCTAGAAAAAGAGAAACATTAGTAACTACAAGAAGAGAAAAGAAGCAAAACAACACAAACATTAACTTACCTGACTCTAATGACAAATTTAAGTCTGGAAGAAGAGAAATGTTAGTAACTACAAAAAAAAAAAAGAAGCAAAACAACACAAACATTAACTTACCTGACTCTAATGACGAATTCAGATCTGGAAGAAGAGAAACATTAGTAACTATAAGAAAAGAAAAGAAGCAAACAACATGAACGTTAATTTACCCAACTCTGACAATTTCAATTATTCCAAGAGCAACGGCTCTAATGACAAAATTAAGCTAAAAAAAGTGTTAAGTCAAGGGAAGAGCAAAGAAAAAAGTAAGCAAAATAAAAAAAGAACCAAAAGAAAACAAAAAAGGGGAACAAAAAGGAAACAAAAAAATTAAGATACAAAAAATAAAAGAAAAAAAAATAGAAAACAAGAAAAAGAGAAAATAAAAAACAAACAAAAGAAACAAAAAAGAAGAAACAAAAAAGACAAACGAAAAAAAATAAAAAATTACAACTTGTCTGTTGCTAAAATTACCAACCTACCTGCTTCTAAAATTATAAACTACCTGCTGTAAAATCACCAACCCACCCACTGTTTAAATTAAAGATACTAAGAATGACCAAATTAAATCTAGAAGAAAAAAAAGTAGCAAGTTAGTTCAAATAAAAAAAAAAGAATAAAAGTAAAAAAAAAATCACACCACTTCTGAAATCATGATCTATCAAATCTAACCTACCTGCTATTTAAATAAAAAATACCATAACCACTAAATTAAATCTAGAAAAAGAAAAAAACATGTTAGTGCAAATAATAAACAAAAAAAAAAAACTGAAAAGAAAAGAACAAAAAAAAAAAAAAGCAAATAAAAGTGGGCAAAAAAAAAAACAAAAATCGTGATTTACTTTAATATTTATATGATTGCCAATCTTAAATATGATTGGTCAATCATATAAGTTTATTGTGTGGTCACATGGTCAGGACTGTTACCGGTGGCAACAACTAGATTATTTCTTTAAGAAAATAAATAAAAAAATTTGTTTAATAATAAAATACCAACTCTCTTATATAAAAATTTAACTAAATAATAAACTCTAACTTGAAATATAAACTAAAAAACTTGTCTTTAGTATATTTAATTAAAAGCTTATAAAAAATAATTATCCAATAAGAATTAATTTGAAAATTACTAATACAAATTGTAAAATATAAAAAAAATATATAAATAGTTAGTTATAAATATACAAAATTCAGATTTACCTAATATATATATTGGATATAAAAAAACTTTGGTAAATTTAAATTACAAATAAACCAAAAACCTATTTATAACTCTTTTTAACAATTATTTGGTTAACAAAATCCAAAAAACTAAACTATGGAAAAATATTATAAAAGATGCTAAAATAAATAATAAACTTGGTTTTACAAAAGTAGATGTGTTGTCAATAAAATATCAAGAGTATAAAACTAAAGAGTAGTCTACTTTAAACTGGTTTTAGTAGAAGTCAAGCTTTGGTTAATAGACTTTTCTATTCTATTTAGTATCTAAACCAGAAAGATATTTTAAAAACACAGAATATCTAGAATGATACCAGAAGAATTTTAAACTTTGGATATATCTATATAACTATAAAACTTACAAGAAACAACTACAGAAAAGTTTCGTTAATCTACTACTTTTTTTTAAAAAATTTTGTCAAAAAGTAGACATTTTAGCTTACTTCTTCCAAAAGATTGATATATAAATTTTCAAAATAGTCAGTATTGTTTATCTGTTTATATGAATAAATAGAACTATTAAAATAAAATAATAAATGAATATTTAAAATAAGCAACCAAATACAGATTATATAACAATACAAATAAATTATATATCTCAAACTAAAAAAACTATTAAACAATACTTTGAGACTTCTGTTCAGATTTTGGGCTAATTCTATTTAGTTGTAGCTAGTTGGTCTAAGCTAGTTTAACTAACTTTTAACTTTTTTTACTCTATATATATATTATTAAGATAAAATTAGATACAGAGCTTTTTTATCTTGTAATATGTAATTTTTAAAGTCTAACACAGGCTAATAATCGTGATTGTCAGATTCTTTTTTTTTTTTATCTTACCTTTCATCTTTGTATTTGTTTTTTTTTAATATTAGTTTTCATTTCTTTTTTTTATTTTTTAGAATTAGTGTTAACCTTTGTTAATATCAACCTCATTAATATCAACTTCTCATTAATATTAATCTAAGCTATAAGACAAATTTCCATATATTGAAATTTTCTTATATATATTAACTTTAATATAATTTCTAGCAATTGCATTAATTGCCCTTATAGCTGAATTAAGATCCGATGTTATCTTAACACGAGACTTAAATCCGAAGAGTAATAGAGATTGATTCAGGGCTTCTATAAACCTCTCGCAAGATTGTGTGAATGTTTCTAATACTATATTACTAGAAAGAATACACTTATCATCTATACTGGTAAAGCCTAGTATTTGAAAGAGTTCTCTTATAACTTTCCAATGATTAGCTGAATATGATTTGTGCAAGTCCTCTGCTACTAATTTCTCAGAATTATATCCAGCTTTATAATGGCCATCTTCCTATTGCGCAATATCTTTGGCCTCTAACCCTTTCATTGCACTTTCCTCATCATAGCCTTGCTTTCTAAAATGAGATAACCGCAAGAAATGTTTCTGAGGTTCAGGCGGACTGAAATGTTTTACAAACTTTTTATTGCAAAGATTATTCCAAATCTCATTGTCTATATCTTTACCATAAATATTTCGCATATAGAAACGTTTAAGTGCCATAGTATCTGAAATAGAGTGCTCTTGGTCAAATTTAAGATTTTTAGCTTCTTCAGGATCGAGATTTTGGGAAGTAGCAACTGTATCAAAATCTGTTTCCTTGATAACTAGTACTTCAACCCTAATCTCATTGCAGACTTTTTTACGATTTCCTATAACTCCTCGGCTCTCATCCATTTTTATTAGTTGGAGAGAAGCACCAGTACTGGCTATAAGACTGCAAAGCTTCTCAATAAAATATCTTGCAGAAAAACATTTCTGATGCTCTACTTCAATAAATGTTGTTATAGCTGGAGATTCATCAATTTTATAAGAAATGGTATTGTTATCCCATTCACAATGACCTTTTATTGCTGTAGATAAGTTATTAGGCCAAGCACTAGCAAGTTCTGCCCGAATATTTTCACGACCTGGTGGGTGAAAGAGCTTATTAGAATTTTTCTGATAGAATAAAGAGATGACACGGTGAGGACAATCACGAATTCGGTAAAGCATTTGTGCAAAAGCTTCAATATGAACTGGAGTAGTGATATTTATAATAGCTATAACTATATCGAAGTGACCTGTAACCTCAAATGATATTCCTGCTTCTACTGTATTTGTATAAGCTATACAGTCAAGCTCACTCCAAGCAATATTAATATCGGAAAAGTCTTTTTGTCTCTGTTTTCTATCCATATCCCTATAATATGCACAGGCTCTAACAGGTAAATTATCAAGCTTAGTCAACTTAGATACTTTTTCTACTAATGCTCTAGCCATCACTACTCCAGTAGATACAAATGCCACATATTTTCCCTGCCTCAAAAGATCATATCCTATTCGCATGGCTTCAGCTTTGCTATTCAGATCATAAATAAATTCAACTGTCTCGCCTATACGAGGCTAGTATCCATTATCAACTATATGAATATCTTCACCATGTTATGCCTTAAGGAATGCTAATGTTGATTTATTTGCAAAGGCATCCATGGCCAAAACATGTCTCACAGATCTTAAGACATCACGCATTGCGTTTTCAGATTCCCGTACATTTGTACTGCTAGACATTTGGTGCATAATGGCATTAACTTCATCGAGAATAGCTACAAACGGACGGGCTATGAATTTGACACGAAAGAGGCTTTCAACCTGTACTATGATAGTATCCCACTCATTTATAGATAAGTCTCCTTGTATATTTTGGTAGTTGCAAATTCGGAAGCCAGATGCTTTTAACTCATTAAGTTTGGACTTTGACTCATTGCTAAGAGACTTTCGGTAAGAAATCCAAATATAGCATGGTAAAGAAGAAATATTATGTACTTTATCTTTCAATGCCATAATAATCTCTCTTAATGCAGTAGTTTTCCATGTTCCCGGAGGAGAACGAATAAGCGTTATCATTTTCTCAGTACTCAAGAAATTGGGATATGCTTCGGAAGCATCTTTTAATTTTTCTACATTAATAATCGTCTCTGATAATTCTACAAGGGGGCATGGATTTGATATAGCATCAGCTATTCTTTTGACTATTCCTCACTTAGGTTTTGCAGAAATTCTGGTTACTTTTCCAAATACTAATCCCTTATAATCAGGTTTGTACTGTTTTTGCCAGTAGCATTTAAGTATGAAGCATCCATTACTTCGAAGAAATCCATATAACTGATCTTTTTCATGTTTGATTTCGCAAATAGGACATGCTTCATATGACTTCGCTTGAAAGTTGACAAATCCCTTCTTAATGCTACCAACCTCAAGCCATCCATATTTTGCGATAACCAAATTAGCTTCCACGCTTAAGGCGGTTTCATCTTCGATAGGCTGGAATTTCTCTTCTCTCTCTGGCTTCTCAGAAGAAAAGGTTCGAGGCCAGATTTCAGAAGAATCAGATTTAGGTTGAACTAAATAATCCTCTAGCTCGCGGTACCCTTTCTTAACTGAAGAAATAGCAGGTCTTTTAACCCTATCTTCCTTTGCCGACCCAAGAAGACGAAGGCTGAAGCAAGATTTATAAAGATCTATGTCAATGAATTTTGAATATGGTTTTCCAACTCTCTAAGCAACTTTTTCCACAAATCCTCTAAGGTCTCTGTAGTCAACAAAATGTGCATAATTATATACAATATGCCAACTGCACTTATTAGCATTAGACGAACTAGCTAAGGTAAAGCATTTAAAGTTATGAGATATTTTAAATCGAAGTATATAATATCAGCACAGGCAATTAAGATTCTGGATAATAAATCTTCACGAGAAATTTTATATCCATCTAAGGAAGGGTGTTTGGGATTCATGGGATCAGGTTTTTGTCTCACGTCGATGTCCAGAACGAGGCAAAGAGGCAAATTCCCATCAATGCATTTATGAGCATCAGGTAACCTATAAACTTCGGATGGGTGAATTACTACTGTGAATCCCTTACCTGCAACCCGAATAATAAATTTATCAAAAATTTCCTCAGAATGATGGGTATCTAGAAGAGTGATATCATCTTTACTATTAGACAGATATTGAAAGTATATATGATTATTATAACCAGGCTCAAAATCAAGGTCCGCTAAACCAGAAAAGAGCCTAATTGCTTCATTTATTTCACCGGGGTCAGGCCTGGGCTTTTTTTGCATAAGAAGCATAGTGAATATGCAAGAAACTAGTATAAAATAACAAAGAAACATGCAAAGTTCAAATAAAAAATCTATATGATCATTGGTATAGTATTGGATCAGTGGTAGTACCCAAAGTAATCAATATAATAATGCCTAAAAGCAATCGATACAAAGATACCTTGAAGTAGTAAATATGCAGAAACAAGAGCTAGAAGGCAAAAACAAGCAAGTTTATGGTAACCTACTCAAGCAGAATTATATATAAGAAAGAAAAGAGAAATTTTACTTGAGTGGCCTACCACCGATAGGCAGGAAAGAGGTCGAGAAGGCAAAAAGCCAATTGTATTAATTTTTCTATTAAATATTCTATATGGTATATATTGTTAAAGAATTTAGCATAAATATGATTGATCTATTTGGTAGCGAAGAAGTATACAACAAGGAATATGAAGTTGAAGACTGTCATATTAACAGGAATTCTTCTATGTGTACACCATGTAAAAAGTGTGGTAAGTTAACTTTTTCTATATCGGTAATATGTACAAGGTATGGTGGTAAGTATTGAAATATGAAACATTATTACCAGAAAAAGCTAGAGAAAATGGCAGAAAAATCAGAAGTGCTTAAAGAAAACTCGCAATAACATGACCTGATAACATGTATATAGCATAATGACTTATGACTAAATGCATTACCAGATATATTTTTTTTGCTGATCTTTTAAAAGTATATTATATAAAATGAGTATATCTCTGACAATGCAAGCGCGAATCGTTCGTTACTTGAATAACGATGCAAGCGTGAATCATTCATTACTCGAATGATGGAGCGAATACTAATATATCTCTGACGATGCAAGCACGAATTGTTCATTACTCAAATGACGACGCAAGCTTAATAGAGGTCAAAATGAGTAGCTATAAAACAAGTAGGTAACAATATACCCATAAGTAGATAACAATATATACTCATAAGTAGGTAACAACCTAATGTAAGTAGGTAGCAATATATATATATTGCTACCTACTGATAATTATATTGATATTTATAAAAGTTGATAATAAAAAAATAATCATTTATATAGTCCTAACTCAATTTTTACTAAATAAACTGCATTTAATATTCTAATAGAAGTTATATAAAATATTCATACAATTCTAATACAAATAAAATCATCAAATTTGGTTTAGTATATCAAAAGATATTCATATTTTATATTTTATGACTATAAAATTTTTTAGGTTATATAATTTAGTGCACATGTATTGTAACATATCTATCTGATCGACCAATTAGATCATAAGATTAGATGTAATATGAAATCGAAAAAATAATAATGTTTTGAAAAAATCGCTTGTAACTTATAATTTTGAAACCACCTTTTGTATTCTAATAAAAAAAATTTCTTGCAAAATTTTGGGTATAATAACATTTACCTATGATCTAATCTAACTTTATATTAGTGTTAACTCTTACCCTAAATTAATACATTGTTGGTTTGTTTTGATTTCATATTATACCAGATCTTATGAGGTGCATCACAACGCATATGCATTAAATGATAAAATTCAAATTTTTTTTACAAAGAAATTTTATAGATATAAAATACAAAATATAAATATCTTTTGATCTATTAATTGGCAAATCACAAGTCATCTGAACAAATATTTTTTTATTATATATAAATTTTACTATAAGCCCAAATGTGGAGCGTGCCTATCTAAAACTTTTTTTTTTTTGCTAAGTAAATCACTCTTGGGCTTGTAACAAAAGTTGTAAAGCTCATCAAGAAGCATCTAATAGTAGTAAGAATATTA